CAACAGGCGCGCGGGGGCCGCGCGCGGGGCGGGGCCGCCGCCGGCGCGGCGGGAACGGCGCGCGCGTGGGCCGGGATCGGGATCGGGAGCAGGACAGCGCGGGGGGTGCGGGGAGGGACGGGACCCTCCTGCCCAGGGAGAACCCCCGCGCGGTCGGACGGGCTCCCGGGGCTTCTGCTGGTGGCGTGGCCGCGCGCCGGCTTTGGAAGTCTCCGGGATTGGCTGCGGGACTCGGACTGCTGCGGGACGGGGTGTGAGGAGAGGCAGAGCCTCAGCTGGACGAGAGGACATAGTCTTGAGCTGCGCCAGGGGATGTTTGGGTGGGACATTTGGGGGAATTTCTTCACTGAAAGGGTGGTTAAGCATTGGAATGGACTGCCCGGGAAGGTCGTGGAGTCGAGGTGTTTAAGGAAAGACTGGAAGTGCTGCTCGGTGTCATGGTCTAGTTGACAGGGTGGTGTTCGGTCATAGGTTGGACTCAGTGATCTGAGAGGTCTTTTCCAACCTGATTGATTTTGTGGTTCTGTGGAAGGGAAGGGAACTTTTCTCCTTGATTTTCCCCGCTTGTCCTCCCCCCCCCCGCCAGTGATATTAGGTGATCTTACTAAAGCTCTGCCTTCTCCCTGCAAACATCGCTTCTTACCCTCACATTATCCCACCCACAGCGTTATCTCTTTGACTCCCTGCATACGATGAAGGGTTTGCGCTCGGTGGCCATTTCCAGTTGTCCTGTTCTAGAGACTGTATCCGGCAGAAACTCGTCCCATTCATAGTCCCCAAGTCTGTGTTGCCCGTACCGCGGCACATGGAACGATGGTTTTAAGCTTTGCCTCTTGAGGGCGTTTCATGAAAACTGAAACTCCGAGCTGAAAAGATACGTCATGAGCTGTGAAAATACTGGGCTGCTGTTTCTGCAGAATTCCCAAATGGTGCTGAATGGTTGTGTTTAATGGTCCCTTTATCCATTATTCAAGCTGCTGTTCTTCTGGATTTTTTTGTTTGCTGTATATTTTCTGCTTTGACTGCTTGATGTTAATGAAAGACTCAATAAAGTTGGGATATGTCCGTGAGCTCTCAGGAAATGGAATTTTAACTTTATCCCTAGAAACTAGTTATTTTAAAACTACTTTGTATATACCTCTAACAATTAATAGCTAGAATAGAGTAGTTAATTAGTAGATTGTAAATAGAGTGTAAATTAATATATTGAATCAAGCTAATCTTTAAATTTGTCCTTGTTTTCTGTTGTAACTTCACTGTTCTCCCTTTAGCATTACCACCTGCACTGACATGTGAACTGGCTCGTTCAAAACAGCGTTTAAAATTTCTGCTTGAGCTGTAGTTGCACCTTTTAGTTACCCTTTAGAAATACCCTTAGGCACAGGGGAAATGAGTCGTAGCTCAAGGCATGGTAACTTGAGATGATGACATGGGAGGCAGAGGTTTTTCTCAGCGTGGGTTCCCTTGTCACAGTCTTTTAAACATGTGCAGTGATGCTTCACTCCTGAGAAGTGCTTCCCTTTCTGAGAAATGTGACTATTTTGTGGGCTTGGCTCCCTCATTGGCCCCCAACTTCTAAACAGAGTCTTGGTTACATCACATCTCTCATTCTAACACTGCACCAGGATGTTTGACTTTTGCTCTCAGAGTGTCATACGTTGATTTTTTGCAATGTTACGTTCTCTGTGTTGATGATTTCAGAGCTGGCTTGCTGGCGTTTTATTTCAACTTCAGTGTTTCAATACGGTGATCTTTTCTTTCTTTTTTTATTTCTTTCCCTTCTGTGTGAATAAGCTAAAGTGAACAGAATGGTAGGTTTTGGTTTTTTTTACTGTCCTGTATCTGACAGGCTTGCTTTGCTATCTTTCTGTTTGTCCCTCCGTAAGGTTGGGGAATTATTCTTCTAAAGTGTTTTAGGAGTTCTCGAGGGGACGAATGAGGGACTTCACTTTGCTTTTGTGTTCTTAAAGATAAAAGTTTACTTGTTAGGGCAACAGTAAACAACTTGCTGGGTTGGAAAATTTAACTTACTGGCAAGAGGTTAATGGGTGTAAAACAGTGCCCTCCTGAAAAACTGAAATTAAGTTTATGCAAAAAAAGCATATGGCAGATTAAAAAAATGGTGATGGGATTTAGGGTTAGGGATTTTAATGTAGATTTGAAACATAAGGGATATAGAAGAACAGCAGCAAATAGCTAATTTATTGTATTTGCTTAAATACTTCTGAAGGCCAGGGGGAATAGTGAGTGAGCCTAGTAGACCATGAGCAAGTCAAGAAAAATAAAAGCTATTAAAGGAATTACTCACTTGATGAAATACTCTGAGTGGCTGAAATATCTGAACAGGAGGTTCTGGAGTGATGTAATGCACAAACAAGTTAGAAAGACCAGGCCACCTCTTTTTCAGAGAACATGAGTGGAAGCTGAACTGATAAGAAAATTATTCAGCTTCATACTGAGGGACTAAAGCATAATGAAAGTACTTGTTTAAATAATATAATAATAGTAATGAGAAAAATGCTGATGTAAATTGCAGAGCAAAGGGGCAGCATTGTAATAGCAAGTCAACTTTTTTCCACTTGGAAGAAAAAAAAAAATCCAGTCTGTTACAGTTTTTGAAGTCTGTCGAGCAAGTAAGTGGATTAATCTGCCCAATGTTATTTCCAAGAATGAACATGGAGTTTTCAAGACACAAAATGCCAACAATAGAATGCAAAGCCTGTAGAAATATCAGTACTTTTAAGTTACATTGGAGAAGGTAGAGTGATTCTGGAAAAACAGCAAAGGTAAGTTTAAAAACTCAGTGGAAATCTCTGCTAAATATAAAATCTGTGGAACGGTAGGGCTGGAAATTATATTATGCCACCTCATGAATATCTTGAACTGCATTAAACTTCATGCAGGCTTAATAATTCATTTTGAGGATAAAAAATAGAGGCAGTCTAAGACAGGTGACATTAAATTTCCTTTCCCCAGAATTGGTTTATAAAGGATGGTGGTGGTAGGAGGGTATGAAGGAGTATTAGAAAGTGATGGTAGACTGGACATCATGGGGTCACTTCTGTTGGTCCATTCATGTAAGAGAGGAGTAAATGGAGTTCAGTGACATAGAAGAAATTTTGAATTGGGATAATGTGAAGACTTTCTTGAAACATAATTACTGCTTAGGGTCATGAGGAGGCAGAAGCTGAAAGCATTGGAACTGAAAGAAATACAACTATTCCTGGATTTGTATGGAGAGTAATAGACTCTGAGTTTGCAGAGTGTGACATAAGACTTAAGACTTAGCTAGTCACCAGCTGCTGACAGCTTTCCTTATGATCCAGAGTAATTATTTTATCTTTTTCCATTTTTATTTGGTAGTTCAGACTGCTTGTCAGGCTCAGCAGGAGGATTCATATGTTCTGCGAGAAGCTAACTGGTTTGGTGCTTTATTTTAAGTAAAGTTGAGATTAAATGTAAGTGATATGTCAATTCTAGAACCGTAAAAGAAATAATCTGTGACTAAACATCCTGAATGTATTTATCTGCAAACAACGCATTGCACGACTGCCAAATGTAGTGCTATGGTTATACCTGAAAGCAAATTCACCAGTTGAATTATGAAAATGTCATTTTGGCAAACGAGCCAGCTACTGGTGACACACAAGCTGCAATGTACCTATAAGTAAAGTCAGGTAATAATGTTGGGATTATTAGATTGTTGTGGGTTTTGTCTGAAGTAGGGCAAGATTGCCTCTTAAAAGATACAAGAATTCCTTGTAGAGCTTCTACGTGATCCCTTCTTCAACTGGCCTGTGTGTTCCTGTTCTGCCTTTTTTTTTTTTTTGTATTGAGAAGTGATCAGAAAGGAGAAAGATGTCTCTCTGTGCTGCGTGTTGGATTCAAGAGCTTTTGGTAGGAGGGGTACTAGGGAGGAAAAATGAGCATAACCAAGCTTTAAAGTGCCTATGAGTTTTTTTCTTGATGTGGCTGATGCATCACTGTTATATGACTCTTTTGGTTGCTGGTGTCCAAAGTCAGTATGAAATCAGGAGAATTTTGCCTTACCGTTATTTTGTGGGTTTGCACACGCCTTGCACAGTGCTGAGTCACAGCAAATAATACAATTGTTGCAGGCAAATTTGTCACCACGGGAAAGATAAGGTAGCTTTGGTTTCTGTACCTTCTGATATTCCCAACCCCACAAAAAAGTTGGGTGAAACTACAAAGTCAACTTAATTAATAATTTAGTTTATTTTTTAACCCAGTTTGTTTTCAAGTGTTAGGGATTTCTTTTTTTCATGATGTGAAATGCTGAAAGGTGCACTCTTGTTCTCTTGTAAAGAATGTTCAGGGTGTTAGCAATTTTAGGGTGATCTTTTTTCTGACAGATGATGACTGTCAAATGTTGTTTCTAAAACAGTCTCTTTTTCAGATATGACCTTACAGAAGATACATTGTTGGCCAGCCCATTCTGTAAGTGCAGGGAGGGTATGCTGTAATCTTAAT